ATCACAGCTCACAGCAACCTCCAACTCCTGGGCTCAAGCAAGTCTCCTGTCTCTGCCTCCCAAGTAGCTGGGACCACAGGTGCCTGCCACAACACCCAGCTATTTTTTGGTTGCAGCCATCATTGTTGTTTGGTAGGCCCAGGCTGGATTCGAACCCGCCAGCTCAGGTGTATGTAGCTGGCACCTTAGCTGCTTGAGCCACAGGCACCGAGCCAACTCTCCTCCACATCTAAAGAGAAAACTTTTTTGTTTTTTATTATAATAGAGAAACAAGTCTATTTAGTCCATTTCAGATAAGTCATTTGAACCTATCATTTTTCCTTTAGCCCTATTATTTGTTTAGGTCCTTATCTTCTTTTGTTTTGACTATCACAAACATTAGTGCAGCTGAAATTTTTGACTCTAGTTTTGCCTCTTTTCAATTTTTTTCCCATATTCAACTCACTTCAGTGATGTTCTAGCTAATTTATGCTTATTATGTGCCAGGAATTTAGTTAAGTACTAGAGATATAAGGGAAGTCTTTGCCACACCACAATCTAGTTTGAGAGACAGAAGAAAAATGTGATAAATACCCCCAAAGAAGTATACACCTAAATTATGAAAGAAGAGAATATATTTAGTTCTTTCTGGGAAAGAAGATGGCATTTTATCGGTTATTGAGCTGGAATACATTTCAAAGACTCATATCTGTTATGCCCGGAATTTGGGATTTTCCCCACAGAACACTTGGAGACTGATTCCGATGCAACCAGCAAGAGGCACTTTTATTGCAGACTCACGATATCCACTTATTTCATCACTTTGTTTGAAAATTAACAGTGATTTCCTCAGCACTAACGCATATAGTACATAAGAAAAAAATTAAAGATGAGAAAATACCTAGAGGAATGAATTTCTTCCCTTTTCTTTACCTTAAAAAATAAGGTTAAAAACAGGCATAGCGATTGGAATAAATAATTCCAATAAAATCAAATAGAAAATTAGTAGAATGCAATTATAAAAGGTTCTGTGGCTAGGATAATTAAAAAAAAATTCAAATTTAAAATGCAAGCTTCTTAAAGCAAAGTTGGACTGGCTGAGCCAAAAGAGTATTTTTCTATGCTTAGATAATTTTTAGCTAATGAATAGAAAGATAACATTTTATTGAAAATAGATTATCAGTGATGGGGCTCCTGTATTATTCCATTGTAATTTTAGTCATGTTACAATAAAGTGTATTCAGTTAATCATTTTATATTTTATAAATTTGTAAATGGTAGACTGTAACACAAAAAAATCATTTTATATCAGGACACTTCCTTTATCCTCTCTCTTTACTGCATGCCCTTGGTTAACAAATGCTAATCTATTATTCATGCAAGGGAGAGAAATTGGGATAAATATTACTATCAGCCAATTTATTTTAGGTTGCTAAATCAAAATTATGTTAATAAGGAAAAATCAACACTTCCAAATGTATTTTTACCCCTCACAACTAAACCTAAAGGAGAGACAGTGAAAAAAAATATCAGGTTTCCTAATCCTGCAGGCTGTTTGCTAACTTTAAGAACATGGTTCATTATGAGGAAGTGAGAAGAAAAAATTCAGTATCTGTGAGGAAATGATTATACTTGAAAGAGAACAGACCCTATGGTCAGAGAGCTAATATGGTGCCATAAATAGTGAATTTTTAGATGTAAGGCAGATCAGATTAAATTCAAGTCTCTGTATTATACCAGATGTCTGATTTGGGACAAATTACTCAAATTCCTAAAATATTTAAGTATTCCTCATTTAATTGAGGGTATTACCCACCAAATAGGGTGATTACTCAGATTAAAGGACAGGCAGGTAGTGTTTAGCAGGTCTTTCTAAAAATGCTTGGTAAATGTAAACTATTAATTTTACTATCTTAATATCTTAAAAAATAAATGTATTCTTAGGAGCTAGCCCATTAAGACTTCAATATCTTCTTGGGGATGGGACACTACTAGTTGAGGGACTTTATCCAACAAATGCAAACAGTGTAACCTGGCTCTTTGTACCCTCGATGATTCCCCAACAATAAAAAATAAGACTTTAATATTCTTATTTTAGATATGACCAGGCTAGAAGACTATAGAATGTCTTTTAGGACATGGGACCACCATCCCGGAATGTGATACATGACATTCTGGCCAGCACTTTTAAACAATTTCATCCTTAATTTCTCAGTAAAATATATTTTGGCACTTTGAGTTTTTTTTTTTTTTTTTTAACTTGAAAAGAACAATAATTGCCTTGTAAACAACCTATGGCCAAAATGCTTAGAGTAATAATTAACTATTTGAGACTAGTTGTTTTAAAGAGGGTATTCATTGATTTCTCAGTAAAATATATTTTGGCACTTTGAGTTTTTTTTTTTTTTTTTTAACTTGAAAAGAACAATAATTGCCTTTAAACAACCTATGGCCAAAATGCTTAGAGTAATAATTAACTATTTGAGACTAGTTGTTTTAAAGAGGGTATTCATTGACTCTAATTTAATGACTACTAAGATATTATTGCTAGCAGGAAAAGAATGGAGCACATAGCTAAATACTATATTTAAGATCATTCTTTAGAAGTAACATACACTAATCATCTCTAAATATAGTCTTTCTTTCCCTAATGAGCTTTACCTTGTACTTCCTTAAGTCTTTGGTTTTCAGACTTTACAATACTTTCAAAGTTATGCAAGAGAAACATAGTCAAACGAGGATCCCCAGAAACAGAAAAAGGCACAACCGTGTGACCATATTGACCCAAATCCATTTTCCTGGCATCATCAACCCTAAAAATATTATTAGCTGTCAAGAGAAAGGCAAAAGAACCTAAAAGTCCCAAAATCTGTAGCAAAACCAGCTTCCAGTTGCGCCAATTGAACATCACCCTCTTTACGAACATGGCACGGAACTGCTGGTTGTAGAGAGAACACTAAAGAAAGAGGAGAGAAACATAGCATTACAATAGTCATTGACATAAACAGATCATTCACATTAAAATTCATTCTTTGAAATTTTATGGTATGAATGCATGAAACTTTATTGTATAAACACATAGTTTATACAAATAAATAAATACTTGGCATAGAACCTAAGCATAGTATGGTAGTAGACAATAATGTGATCAGTCTTTTCTTTGTATAAGGCAGGGAGGGGTCAACAAACTAAGGCCTGCTTTTGGAAACAAAGTTTTATTGCAACACAGATATGCACACTGATTTCTGTATTGCTATGTTGTTTCTGTGCTGCAATGACAAAATTGAGCGATTATGACGATTAGATGGTCCATAAACCTTCAATATTCACATGAGGTTTGCTGACCACATTATTGTCTATGCTTAGGTTTGCTGACCCCTGCTATGTGTGCGAGATATAGCACAAAATGTTTAAGGTTTGACTTTAGATTATAACACACAAAGTCTCAACAGAATGATTTTCCTCAGACTCCAGCCAAGAAAGCCAGGGTGATTCATAGAAGAAATAGATAAGCAGAAGGAGAATGAAAGAAATATTTGACAACTCAAAGAAAATCATACTGAATAGAGAATGATGTGTTATGCAGTAACAATTCCAACTGAAAAACTTAAAAAAATTTTGTGCATACTTTATTGCCAAAAATTAGGTTTATGAGAACCTTTAATCTAGCTTCAATAAGCCAATGAATTTTGGGGTTTCTAATCTGGAAAAATATAAATTCTGACACAGAAAAAAAGAAGTAATGAATAATCATGATGAAAGTAAACAACTTCTATCTTTATCTAGAACTCACCACTTCTGTATTAGCAAATTAATTAGGTATAGACTACTTCCTATCTTTACATTGACAAAAGTACCTTTTATACTCCAACCAAATATACATGATGGTTCGTAGTAAAGATGCTCACCCCAGTATTAAACCTAATAGTTTGGCTTTCATTTAGAATGGGAGAATTTGATCTCGTAGCATTTCTTGACACATTTCTATTCTGGTTCTTAGCAGAGAATTTGCTCCTCTGGGAAGGCTGCACAGCTTGCACTTTGTTGTCTGAAACTTCCATGTGGCTGACCCTATATTAAAAAAGAAATTCAAAGAAATTTACTTTAACTTTATCACAGTATGTCTTGTTTGAAGAATGTGAGTTGCAACCCCTCAGTCAGAAGTTTCCATGGTTTGCTCACTGCAGGGCAACATTTGGAGGCAACTTGATCAAATGGTCCTTCCATTCCAGGGTTTTTCTTTTCTCTCTATATTGTTACCTACCTAAGGAAGACTTCTTCCATGGTAGTGACAGAAGCACCAAAACTAGCAATACCCAACGTTTTCTGTCCTTCTTCTAGAGAAGTGAACAGACCTTCAAATCTAGAGGTAGAAGAGGAAGAGAAAAAGCTATCACTAAACTAGATGGTTTTCCTATTTATATCTAATTATTCTAAATTTATTTCCCTTCAGCAGTGGAGAAAATGTAGATCATTCTTCATTATATAAGTGCTTATTATAATTTTATACTTCTACAAGGTGGGACAAATAGAAAGAAACTAGTAAATCATTATAGCAATTTATTTTCTGAATTTTGTACAATACACACATATTACTCTCATAACTGAAAGGAAAAAAAAAGGAAATACAGGTGAATCTCCTCTACTTAGTTCTTGGATACATGTACTGTGAGTCTTCTAACACAAATATCAATAGATTCCACATGTTAATTGCTCTAGCTAGTTGACATAAATTGACTGACCACATGTACATTTAGCTATGGTTCTTATTACTCAGTAAATCAGAAAAGAAAATCATACTCAGTGGGGAAAAAAAAGATACCTAAAAACAGAAAGTGGAGTAAGTGCAATAAAACATGAAGACTTAGGAAGAACCATGTGATTAAATATATAGAGAAATCTATAGATCCCTACATAATGTGGAGACATCAAGACTTTTAAAGAAAAGTTTTCCTGGGAATATCTTATAGTGTTCAAAAGATTATTTTGTGTCAGAGCCTTTAGTTCTCAAAATCATCTCTTTTACATTCCCAGTGAAATTTATTTGAATCTATATTTACTCACTCTTAGTGTTAAGGAAATTAAAAATTGCCTCTTTTAGAAAATTTATCTAAAATTTATCATTTTAGAAAATGTCCTCTGTATTTAAGCTTAAATTCTATCTAGTTTTGTACAGTAGTTCTAATCTTACACTTTGAGTTATATAGGACAGGTATAATCCACCTGACAGCCTTTGATGTGTTTTATGTCCATTTCCTCTTATGTTTCTGCATTCCCAATGCATGGCTTTCCATTAGGGTTTACCTATATCTTCACCTATATCTTCTTTTTCTTTCTTTTACCCTTTTAGTCATTAAATTTATATATGTGCATCATACAAAATTCAGAAAATAAGTACAGTGGAACCTCCATAGTTGACCACCTCCCTACATTAGCCACCTATGTAAGTCAACCAGACAGTACCATGTATACTTAATAGAAGTTCCTTATGTTGACTACCTCCATATCTTGACCAATTTGTTACATTCCTTCAGTGGTCAACTTGCAGAGGTTCTATATATATATGGAAAACAAGAATTATCACAATACTATCCTTATAGGTAACCAATGTTATTATGTTAATATTTTGTCATCATTATTTATTTTTGTTTCTAATGGCTTTACATGATATGGAACAAAATTAGAATTAAATTTTGTACTGCTTTAAAATGCATGAACATAGCACAAAGTAGTAATAAACTAAATATTCACCAACAGTTTAATGAATAATGGTACACATATTCAATAGAATAAGATCTAATTCAATAATTCAATAGAATTAGATCTAATAAGATCTAAAATAGATCTAAATCTAATAAGATCTAAAATCTACAAGTTTTAACACCTAAATTTTTTTTTAGACGGAGCCTCAAGCTATCCCCCTGGGTAGAGTGCCATGGCATCACAGCTCACAGCAACTTCCAACTCATGGGCTCAAGCGAGTCTCCTGCCTCAGCCTCCCAAGTAGCTGGACTACAGGCACCTGCCACAACGCCTGGCCATTTTTTGGTTGCAGCCATCATTGTCGTTTGGTGGGCCGGGCTGGGGATTCAAACCTGCCACCTTAGGTGTATGCGGCTGGCGCTTTAGCCGTTTGAGCCACAGGCGCTGAGCCTTAACACCTAAAATTGATTAAGAAATGCTGAGTGACTAAAGCAAGATTCAGTACATTAGTATGGGAGGATCTCATTTTTGCAAAGCTATTATTTCTATAATACACATGTCAATATGTGCATGTAATGCTCATGAAAAATAAAAATCAAACTCTTGTCAGATTATCTCTATAGAGAGTGATTATGTGCGACTTTCATTTTCTTCTCCGTATATTTCAGAAATAAATAAGCTCTTCAATTTTGTCATCACACAACCATATGTAGAGTAACAAACTGTAGAGTCCTTACTAATGAAGTAATCTATAAACAAAACCAAATAATAATAATGAAGTAAATAATAATAAAATAATTTTTATGAGCTAGTCTTATTATGAAGTCACATTAGGAATCTGACCACTTTGAGTTTACCTGATTTTCTAATTACATATGTTTATATATCTGCAATAGATCTATTTTTCTAATTGTATAGGTTTCATTTTGTTATATGTGATATATATGTACCACATATATTCAATAAATATAAATATTATGTGGATAATATATAATGGACAATTATCTTTGGGGGGGCTTAGAGAAAAATATAAAAAGAAAAAAAAACTGACCACTTTAAGTAAATGTATTCCTGTTAACATTTGATGTATTTCCCTCCATTAACTACATGCACTTTTTAGATAATTAGATATTTTTTCACTACAAGGTCTTGCTCAATCAGTTGGGTGAAAGACAGGCATCATCATAGGTTCATCATAGCTCACAGGAGCCTCAAACTTTTGGCCTGAAGCAATCCTGTTACCTCAGCCTCCTGAGTAACTGGGACTATAGTCATGCCCTACTATGCCTGGCTAGTTTTTCTATTTTTTTGTAGAGACAGGGTCTTGCTCTTGCTCAGGCTGGTCTCAAACTCCAGAGCTCAAGCAATCCACCCACATCAGCCTCTCACAATGCTGTAATTAATGTGCTTTATATGTATTGTATCTTAGAAAATAAATAAAATAAAATATCTAATGACCAGACTGAGCAAGAATGGGACCTTCTCTGTGTCTACAAAAAGTAGAGAATTAGTCAGCATTGTGATGTGCATCTGTAGTCTTAGCTACTACAGGGGAAGCTGAGGTAGGAGAATGGCTTGAGCCCAGGAATTTGAGGTTGCTGTGAGCTATGATGACTCCATGGCACTCTGCCCAGAGTGAGACTCTGTCTAAAAAAAAAAAAAGAAAGTTCACTAATTACAAATAAAGTTTTTCATATGAATGGCTGTGGGTAATATCCAGATAAGGTAGAGAACATTTCCAACGCCTCACAAGGAGATTTCAGCATGCTCCTTCCTCTCCACACACATAATATATGTATTTTAGGATTCTATAACTAAAGATTAGCTTTGTCTTTTCTTAAACTTCATATAAAAGACATCTGATGTAAAGAATAATAAAAAAATTTTAATAAACGCGAAAATCATTTTAACAAAAAAGAAGACTTCTGACAGTCTGTACTTTTTTGCCCAACACAGCGCTTGTGAGATTTCTTCATGTTGTGTATACCACAAGTTCATTCTTTTATATTGTTGAGTAATATTCATCCATATTCTTAATATTGGACATTTTGCTTGCTTTTGTTTAGAGCTATTATGAATAAGGTGGCTGTGAATGTGAATATTCTTTTATGTATCTTTTTCTTTTCCTTTTTAAGACAGAATCTCACTATGTTGCCCTTGGTAGAATGCCGTGCCGTGGCGTCATAACTCACAGCAACCTTAAACCCTTGGGCTTAAGCAATTCTTTTGCCTCAGCCTCCCAAGTAGCTGGGACTACAGGCATCCACCACAACACCTGACTATTTTTTTGTTGTAATCATTGTTGTCGTTGTTTAGCAGGTCCAGGCTGGGTTCAAACCCTCCATTCTCGGTGCATGTGGCCAGCGCCATACCCCTGTCCTATGGGTGCTGAGCCCTTTTATGTGTCTTTGATGAAACCTGTGTCTCCTAGATATATCCTAGAAGTAAAATAATGGGATCATAGGACAAAAACATATTTAGCTTAGTGGAAATGACCAAATATTTTACAAAGCAGTTTTACCATTTTAAACTTTATGAGCAATTAGATACAATTTCTCTGTTCACACACTATAGTCTGTCTTTTTAGTTTTAGCCATTTTGGTGTGTGTATAGTGGTAATGTAATGTAATCTCTTCTTTATATCTTAGAAAATAAATAAAATAAAATATCTAATGACCAGACTGAGAAAAATGGGACCTTCTCTGTGTTTACAAAAAATAGACAATTAGTCAGGATTGTGATGTGCATGTGTAGTCTCAGCTATTGGGGAAGCTGAGGTAGGAGGACTGCTTGAGCCCAGGAGTTTACATTTATTAATTACATTATCTCTTATTTTTTTGCATTTATTAATTACATTATCTCTTCTTTTTCTTTATATTTTTCTCGTATTTCTGGGAGAAGTTTTTGGCATAGTCTTCTCTTTAATTGATTCTACTATTTTCTGCTATAATTAATGGTCAGTTTTTCTTGTAGCCAATTAGAATTTTATCTCATTTTGTCTCATTTTTCCTCTTCAAACCTGTTTGATCTAGATTCAGTGTTCACTTCAATTTGATTGAGATCTTAATGGAGAATTTCAAAAGTTTTATATTTTTGCAGTATATTTATTTTCAGGATTGGCATTTATTATGATTTCTCACTGTGATCCTATTCTTCCAAAATGTAGTACCTTTCCTATAGTCCATTCTTTTTCTCCCAACTTTATGAAAATGTACTTATTTGTAAAGCATTAACTTGTAATCATATATAACTTCAAGAGGAAATTCTAAGACTGAGACATGATTCTGCCTGATTCAGTGATTTCCAAGTTCTCTTTCTAGTATTCCTCCCATCCTTGATAATCAACCTTGAGATTACTGGTCCCAATGTGTGGAGTTTAAAATTAAAATGAGACTGGCCTGCCTTCAGTTTTCTAACATTGTGATATAGATGGAAAAGTGTAGGTTTTGGAGATAAATGGGCCTATGTTTGAATTCAGTGCATGCCACTTATTATTTGATTTAATCTTTCTTAACTTACAAATCATCATATCATTTGTAAAAAGGTAAAATAAGCATATTATACATATTCTCCTTGTTTGTCACAATGTTATTGCACTTTAAAATTTATTTCTCTACAATTATTTTATACTGATTTGAGAGGCTCATATGTACTTCATCACCGCTTGGAATCTTGAACTTATTTGTAGCCATGAGCATCACCCTGAAAAATCTCACCTTTCTCTTTGTTTATTCATGCCTTTCAAATTAAAAGACAATTTTCTTTGAACAAAAAGATTGAATCCAAATAAGAGTTGAGGAATTCTGCTTGCTTGATGACAGCACTGAAGCTTTTTTCCCTTGACATTCTTGGTCAAGATATAATTTTAGATTTTTCTTTTTCTTTTGCCGTATCCCAACCACAAAATCCCAGACCTTTAATAGAAGTGGATGCAAAACTAGAAGAAGAAACCAGGTCACTTGAAAAGAAGCGCTTCGAAAGGAGAACTCATTATATAAGATTTCATCTGGATCTATCATGTTCATATTTAATTTCTTCTCTATTTTTTCCTAATTAACCTGCTGGCCCTGACATCAAAAGCATAGTGCTAGCTCCATTTTTGCTCTACCACATATATTTTTATGACCCACATACAGCTTTTCAACTTTGCTACTCAGGATCCAACCTTGCTCAAGACACACCACCTCATATAAAAATAAAAAGAATGATGGTACTACTTAAAAAACTTTGAAAAACACATTGGAGGTGGTAACTGTCTGATGCTATTATGTACAATTTTTTCTTACATAATGGATTTTAGGTATTGCTCTATTTTCTTTACACTTGGGATCTTACAGTCAGAATTTCATTTTTGAAGCTTCCAAACACTCTTGAGTAACCTTTTCTCTCAAAAGGTCATATTATGGAATCTTGCTTTTCTGTATGCCTTAAAATTTTGGTATGTGTCTGAAATACCAAGTCCCTTCTTTCTTTGATGCCTTGAATCTATCATGGTATGGTAAGTTCCCCCAAAGGTATAAGACATCTGTTTTTCCACCTCAACCACCATTTTCTTGACTAGCAGAATTAGATTTATGGTCATAATTTATTTCTCATTTACTCCATCTTTCTATGAAGTATAATTATTGTCAAGAGAAGTCAGAAAAATGTCAGGAGACCTACTTTGAGGTAAGACATGTCTTTTGTCTATACTTGAATTATCCCCTTTACTGTGTAATCTTGCTTAAATTTTGTATCAGGAATACCTCCTATTATCTTGTAGGGGTTTCACAAGTTCCACAATATATAACTTGTTTCTTTCTTCTATTGTCATTCACTGGTTTTCCTATACATTTCTACCTTCTAGTTCCAGAATTTTAAGAATATAAATATTCCCTGATATGTAGTACCATTCTGATAGGAGATATATATCTATGTATCTATATAGATATATATCTATGGAGTGCTGCATATCATTCTACTGCCAACTTAAGCTTCATTCTAATGAGTCTCATATGGTTTTACAACAAATTATAACAATTCTTTAAAATTTCAAAATCACTTTCTTTGTAGGATATATTCAATAAATTGGAATACAGGTATATGTGATTAAACATCACTAGTTTTCTTTCATGTTATTTATTCAGCCAAATAAACACAAAATAGAACATTGCCTGGGAAAAAGTAAGTGCTCAATTACTTTTAGCTATCAAAATTGTAGCTGGAAAGGAATAAAATAATTCAACCATAATTTCATTCATTTCATATTATATTCTAAAATAACTGGATTTATAGGTATTTACTTTTCTTATAATTTTCGTCCACCCATTTCTTAGTTTAACACTTTAATTTTTAGAGAAAACTGAATTCTGAGCAAACATGTTCTTCCCCAAATTCATATTTTTCATTTTGTTCTGTAATGAATCTAGCATTCCAAATCTAGATTTATTGCTCAGAAGTCTACAATTAGTTGTTCACCTCTTGTAACTTCTTCCTATTTTCTTCTTCAGTGCAAATGATTAGTAAGAAGATATGATAAAACATCATCTGCTTCTAAATCCTTCCATTTCTTGTTTTAGACATGATCATAACATAAGTATATGATGTTACTCATCTTGCCTGGAAATTTTATTTGTGTACATATGAATCAGAACAAGCAGATAGGGTAATAAGTTTATGTGAGAACTTTATTTGTGTATCTCTTTCAGATAGAGTCTGTAGCTCCAGGTGGATCATTGTTATCACCTTGAGCTATGTACCAATTTTATCTATAAAAATTTCCATTTATTTATGAATGAATCAACTACCTTGTATCTTTGGGAAAAATATCTAGAGTGCTATCTCCAATTATTTATTATATTTAATTTTTTCATTCCTATTTATAACTTGGTTCACTTTCATTCCCTGATCATGCTGCCCATGCTGCCCGTGCTTCTCAAGAACTTTCCAATTTACTAAATAAACAAAACTCAAATAATGTACTTCCTTTTCCTTCTTTTTCTTATGACACATTCCTCTTTTTCCTGGAAAAGGAGAAATTAATGACTTTCATATTCTTTATGAATATGACAACTGGTTTGACTCTGGGAATACCAAAGAAAGTACTTACTTGTATATGGCAATAAGACAAAAATATGAAACACTAGAGCTCACTGATAAATTTGCTTTGGTTCCATCTCATTTTTTTTTGTTTTTTCGTTTTTTGTTTGAGGATAGTTATCCTAGGAAAAGTTATTATATTTCCAACTTTCTTTAAGGATAATTCTATAATTAAAATAATTCAAACTATCTATTTCCCCTGGTTTCTTGTCATCTTGACTCCAAGAGCCACCATCCAAGCCATCTTATTTTTTTCCTCTCAATATCTTAATATTTCCCTTCATTCTATTGACCAAGAGTAATTTTTACTTTTACAACAATATACCATCAGTTACTGCCAATTAGCCCCGGGAACCTACAGCCATTAGGAGACATTTCTATCTTTAGTGCAAGTGGAAGCTATGACAGGACTTTTGCTTGCCAAATAACTCTTCTCGCCAAGCCTGAATTAACTAGGAAAAGTAACAATGATTTCTCACTATCTAAAAAATCACCCTTTTAGCTCTCAGGATCCATACCTGTGTGCATACTCTTTGGGTAGAATAAATGATAATTCAGATCCAACATTGTTCTCCAAAGTAGCTGATGGTGTATAGTATTGAATCAATTTTGAGATTTCTTCAACCTTACAGTTAGGTTCCTTCACCATAACTATGTGGTATCCCACACCTGAGAGAAACCATTTAGAGAAACAAATAAAACATTTTGCACTTCCCATACTCTTATGAGACTGTATTAGAGTTTCCATGGCTTGGTGAATGAGAAAAAGATTGGGTATGTCACAGATCATTTGAGAATCTAATAAATATTTCTTTATAGTTTCATTATTTTTCTTAGGGACTGATATGACCAGGATTATATGACAAGATAGAGTGAAGATAGTATGAAAGTCTCTGTCATCTGGCTTCTCATACTATTAATACTGAAATGTAAGAGAATGATATTAATATTCATTATTGGGTACCTATAATATTCCAGAGAGTAAAAAAATCAGATAAAAATTCCTTCCTTCAGAGAACTGAAGAAAACTCCTAAAGTAGCTTGTATCTCCAGATATTTACTTTACTGGCCTTCTGAATGTAGGGGTCAACTACTGTAGCAGAGAAAAATACCCCTAGGGAACTTGAGGATGTTGTGAAAACACTGAAGTATCATTTTATTCATATCAGTGGTATAAAAAAATTACAAAACATGCAAAGAAACAAAAAAATAATAACCCTAAATATGATGGAAAAATAAGCCAACATACAGACTGGCCCAGATGTAGAAATTATGAGATGAATATCTTAAAATAACCTTGATAAATATATTAAATAATCTTGATAAATAATAAAGGAACTAAAAGTAGGCCTACTGTTCAATCCTACAATCCTGGGGTTATTAAAATTAAAAATGTACATGCCTAAAAATATACTATTAAAATGAATAGGTGAGTAATTCATTTAGAGAAGTATCCATAATAGATACATCTGAAAAAACACTCACATCTGTGAAAGAACTACAAATTAACAACAAAAGACAATCAGCTTCTAATAGTGGGTAAAAGACTTAGACACGTCACAACAGAATTTACCCAGATAGTCAAATTAGATGTGAAAAATTACCTAATATATCATCCTTCAGTGAAATGCAAATTAAAAACACAGAGATGCTGTCTCACACCCACTAGAATGACTTAAATCCAAAAGACCAACCAAAATTTTGGTAGGGATATGCAGCAAGTAAAATTCTCAAATATGCTGAGTTATATAAAATATTATAAGCACTTTGGAGAACCTTTTAATAGAACATGAAACCAGAAAGACATCTGGAGAACACTTAGAGAACTAAAAATAGACCTACCATTTGACCCTGCAATTCCTTTGTTGGGTATATTCCCAGATGACCAAAAATCACATTACAACAAAGACATTTGTATCAGAATGTTTATTGCAG